TGCATACTTACTTATCTTTCATTTGTTATACTGTGGTATTTGTGCCCGAGGGGCGGATTTTCTGTGCGTACCAGCACTAACTGTTTTGAAATTATATCGCAACTGTTGAAAAGACCATTTTCAAAAGAGGTTTAAGCTGAGCCAAGAGATTTCTAAAGATTTCAGAGTTTCATTGTTTTTTTTCAAAGGATTGTATACTGCTTCTATACAGCATGTTGGATGCTTTACGTGATTTCTTATTGCTTAGTTATTATTTACCTTTATTACTCACTGAGTTGGAGTACTCACTTTACTCCCTGCACCTTGTGTGCAGATGCAGGTATTTATTCACCCGGTAGTGGGTATTGGCTGTGTGAAGGCAGAGCTGTAGGAGTTTAGCGAGGTGACTGCCAGCGTTCGCAGCACCGTTTCTCTCCCTGTTGTTCATTATTCCTGTTCAGTGTATTTTTAGACTTTGTAGATGTAATTACACTCTTATAGATGCTCGTGACTTGTGACACCCCGGTTTGGGCTGTGTTTGGGTTGTACTTCCGCTAAGTAATGTTGTTGAATCACCTTTAAAATTGATTATTCACGTTTATCTACTTTTGACAAAGGCAATTTAGGTTGGTTGGCTGGCCTTGTCTTCACGAGAGGCGCCATCACGACTGGAGCGGGGTTTGGGTCGTGACAAGTTGGTATCAGAGCCTAGGTTACTAGGTGTCACGAGTCATGAGCAGGTTTAGTAGAGTCTCGCGGACCGGTACGGAGACGTCTATATTTATCCTCGAGAGGCTGCAAAACCTTTAGGAAAACTTCACATTCTTGAATTTTTATCGTGCGTCCTTGATTCAGCTTGAAAAGTAACTCTTGAAATTCCTTCCACGCATTCGTATGCGCGCATGAGCGCTCAGTATCAGATGTGCCTTGATGGCTTATGATTCCCTATCGGGGGCGAGATGTGATCTCTGTGAGTTGATGTTGGGCCAGTCTGGAGGACTTGAGGTCGGATCTTTGCCTATGGCTTGAGCACCGAGGTGCTGATTGAGTGAGCAAGTATTTTGAACTTTTATGTTCGCTAGTGTCCCCGTTAGTGGAAGTGACGGCCGTGGCTAGGTGATGAGTATGTTAGTACTGCGAGATGTATCTATGTGACGTGGGAGTGACGAGAAAGGCCTGATGAAGGATAGAGAAATTATTAGGTGCTGGAATTCCATCTTGATTTGAGGTATAGCCCCGAGTGATGGGCGTATGAAGGATCTTTTCATGTTTCCCAGTTGATGGTGAAGTGAATTTCATGTTGCGGGATGAGTTCAGACTCAGGAAGACTAAGTGACGGTGTAATGTGTATGACGGTGGAAGGTATACAGAAGTGTTATATTGAGGCGGAGCAGGTGGGTTATCTCCTGCGGAGTGTTCTGAAGTGGTGTGATCCTTATGTGTATGTTAGAAGATCTCATGTGTAATTGAAAAGTACGTGTTGAAATTTGAAATTTTGGGTCGCTTAAGAGAGTGGGCTTAACTGTCGCGGCGATGAATGCGAGAATTGCAGAAGATTTACAATATTAGATGATATGTGTTTTCACAAGCTTATAAATGATTTGAGTTTAATCTCACTATGTTATTGTGGCATCAATAGAGTAAAAGTGTTATGAGTTATTGAGGGTATTTTGATCTATGTCTTCGAGCCAAGTGGGGGAGTCTGCTGTGAGTAGTTGATTGCACGGTTAGGTGCTATGCTGGTTCCAGTTTGAGGCGTGCGGATAAATCAGTTATGGCTTGCGAAAATTGAGACCGAGGATGGCTCAAGTAAAGGAAAATTTTGACAAAGGTTATATTATGCTTCATAGGGTAAGAAAATCACAGGATGTCTTAAGTTGTTGTTGGTAAAGAATGCTCAGTGCGTAGAGCAGAGAGTTGCTTGGTTGTATTGGGATGAGGATTTCATTCTGTGGTGTCGGAGTGCCAATAAGGCATGGGTGGTTCTGTTCGTTGGGTCAGGTAAATTGCAGTTTGAATAAGAGTGAACGACTTGCGAGAATGGTTCTAATGTGTCCAAGAGTCTGCGTACATCAATTGAGTGTTCTAAAGTTGCATATGTGGTTAGAAACTGACTTTCATTGGAAGATGTCAAGACTTGTGGTATTTCTATGTTAATTATGGGATTCTATGTATCAGTATCAGGAAAGTAAAGGAAACAAAGTTAGATTCGAAGGAAGTTCTTCAGAGTAAGGTATTCTGGGATGTGGTATTTCTGGGAATATTTGAGAGAGTATTCAGCGGTTTATGGGTTTCAGACAGTGTGGTTTTATGCTTGGGTCTTGTGTGGTAAGCCTGGGTTGAGGAATTGTGGTACTACAGCAAGGGGAAATATCAAGTTGAAGACGAATCAAAAGAAATTTAGATAGATGGAGTAGCTTGATAGTAGATCGGATCGGCATGGTAAGGATATGATTAATTCTTTGTGTGTGTTCGGGGTAATGAGTTCGTACAAGTATTTTCGCAGCAATGCTTTGGGGTTCCGACGGCTTGCTTAGCTTGGTCGAGTTAGAAGGATTCAGTTTCGGCAGTTTAGTTTGTGCAAATGGAATTGGGAGAGTTCTGGTTGATTTCTACCGTGGTCGGAAGGGTGCATTTTCTACGGATGTGAGAGGCATGGGATGTGTAATGATTTTTCTTCTAGATGGGATCAATGGAAGTTCTTGGCTAGATAAGTTACAGTTCAGTTCTGGAAGGGGAGTCCGTAAAACTCTTAAGCAGCGGGTAACCTCAGATAATTAAGGGAATGATATTTCTAATTGGAAGTGATTTGATGGGGTATTTAAGGTGTGATATGTTTTCGGACGGCAAATTGGGATCGGGTACGATGATTCGTGTGCTATATGGAGTTGGGGACTGGGAGTTCTCATGCGCAGGCTATGTTATGGTTGTGGACCGTGTGTATCGGCACCGTTTAGCGGCTATCGGGATTTGGAGGCTCGAGTGGATCTTTCTTTGCTGGTATGTTAGATATTGGATGTGATGTTGGAGTTCAGACTGGTTGTCTCAGTATTGGGTTATTCTGGACTATTGCGCTATGGGCTATGCTGGAAACGCCACGGGTTGAGTGGCGAGGTGCGTCGGATTATGTTCTAGCAGAGTGGTTTATATTTCAAAGACCCAGCGAACGGCTGGGAAGGATTGTTTTTCTTAATTGGGCCTTCGTGATGGATGTCAATGCAAGGGTTTCTACCATCGACTCAGTTCCGGTGTTGAGGGACTTTTCGGATGCGTTTCTTGTGGCCGGGCGAGGTTGTGGATTTCGGTATTGATTTGGTGTCGGGCACCGTATCGTATGGCTCCGGTAGGAGTTGTATTAGTGGAAGGAGCAGCTTCAGGCTTCCTTGATAATGAGTTCGTTGGCAGGCCAATGTGGATGCGTGTTTTAGCTTGAGTCGGCTTGGTTGGCCCCGAATGGTATTGTGAGGGATAGGTTGATTCGATCGTTATTGAGCTTGTTAGTGATCTGGGGAGATCTATGAGTTGCTTTTCTGTGTTGTGAGACGTTACGATTTGTTGGTTATGGGAACATATGATGCGGTTCTATTGGGGTTCATAGTGGAAGTCGAGCGGGGAGAATAATTGGGTGTTGCTCAGTGAATGGCGTATCGGTTATGTCCTATCGGGCTTGCGTGGTATAGGTTACTTATTTCACCGAGGGTGTAATGATTTGCTTTGGTTTCAGGCATCAAATTGTGCATGGTTGTCAATTTCGGGCATAGTGACTTGAGGTGTCTCATGTGGAGCAGTGTTTGGACAGGATCGTGCATTGCAGTGAGGCTATGTGGAGATATGACATTGCGGGTTAGATTCGTGTGTTATATTCTATGATGTGAGCGGGTTCTCAACCTTGTGTTGTGGTGGTACTGGTGAGCTTGTGNTCTCTTCTTTAAATGAGAGAGCCATCTTCAGAATTATTAGTATATTTATAGGCTTAAATTTGCAGCAAATAACTTGTAATAAATTATGATGGTATCTGACAAATATTATAGAATACATAAACAAAATTTTACTGGACAACTCTAAGTGTTTTCACAATATATTAGTAGCCAAGTTAGATTTCCATGACAAGTGAGAAACATATGCATGTCCAATACTTATTGAATGAATCAAAACACTTGATCAAGTCATTTCAATTACACATAAATATATCCTTTTTTTAAAAAGTATTATATCTGAATATAAATCCAAAAGAAATTGGTTAAATAAAATTACTAAGGTCATCTTCAGTTAAGAGGAGTTAACGAGTATTTCTACAAATTAAAAATCATGATAGATTTTTACGATATCTCTAACCAAATGCTTTCTGATATACATGTGAATAATGAATTACTATATAATGATTTTATGTCTACTAATTTCTTTTCTGTGACGACATAACAACTACTATAAGAACTTGAATTAATATAAAATATGTAACATGTATTAAGACATACCTGGAGGATATATAAAAATAAACCTTAAAATGGTAATGGAAAGGATTAGAGTCTCGTGCTGATAACGTGTTACAAAATAAAAGCAATATAGCAAGAATTATGTAATTAACTAGGACTAATAACATAAGAGAACGATGACATTAGAAGAGAGGATCTATTTCTTTGTTTCTGAGTATCTAATAGGTTCATCGGTGAACCTATTTATAGCAACATTTCGTTGTTACAAAACCAATCCAAATCATGTTATGAATACATAACCAACCTAAAACCTGTTATGGATACATAACCAAACCTGTTACGGATACGTAACCAATTCAAAACGTATTATGGATATATAACCAATCTAAAATCTGTTATGGATACATAACCAATCCAAAACCTGTTATGGAAGACATCCATTGTTGCAAGTGGATGGATCCATTTGCAGGATTTATGACAATAAAAACAAATATTGTTATCCAATTCTTTAAAGAAACATTTTCATATTATTCAGTTTCATTAATCGAGTTTAATTTTCTTATATACTTTGCACTGATCATTCAAGAGCTATATATAGTCATATATTCTTCACAAGATAAAATAAGGCTAATATTCATATCAATTAATCGAAGTATACTGCGTTGTCACGACTCAAAGCTGTGTGCTCTTCCGTTTCCGTCTGTGAAACCCTAATCTCAGATAACATAGGTATGGCTGCTCTAAATCTATGCTTTCTTTTTTCATTCTAATCAAAACGTTGTTTTAGAGATTCTAGTTCAATATCACATGATTATTTTTTTCCTCATTCTTTTGTGCCCTAATCTTTCTTCTTCATTCTAATTTAAAGGTTTGCGTTTGAACATTTTTTGACGGCGACACTGATTTCAATGAAGTTGCTCGTTTTTCCCCTTTTTGTTTTTATATATTCGATGAGTTTGAGTAGAGGGATCGTACGATGTTATATGTTTTTTTCCTCCTATACAATTCTGTCCCGGTTAATCTGGTAGTCAATCCAGCTCACAATTACGTTCAATCACTGCCCGACTCGCGTTTGTGGTTGGTTGGCCATAAAGTTGATGTCTTTTTAGCTGCATAAATTAGATATGTTGCTTAATATCTGTGGATAAATTAATTGTTTTCCTGCTGGTGGAAGCTTGTGATTCGCTTCATTTTCCTTCAGGTGATGTTTTCTAGGTTCTTCACTGTATTTATTTTGGACTGATGTAATGTGATGACACCACTATAACATAGATTTGCCAATGTAATTGCATGACTGAAGTATTTATATGCCATCTATCGTTCTACCTAATTTTCTCTTTCTTTATTGGTTTTTCGCTGTTAACTTTGCGTGCGATAAGGAAAAATATAGCGGGTTGACCCTGATTTAAAATACCGGGTTGATAAGGCTATAGTTACACAGTATATACCTTCATTTGAAAGCTTAGTATAAGGGACTTTCCTAGTATGAATAAGAAAGATAATTTATGGCAATAGTTGTACTTATTCTAAATTATATTCTTGGAGAATTGCTTTCTATTTAAGCGCATGCTATTATATTACACAAGATTACATATATTTTTTGATAAGGAAATTACACAAGATAACATTTTGGAGTATTGCGCTGGCACCTTTAGCATCAAATTTTATATAGTTTGTATACTGCTTATAATCCAATCAGGCTCTTAGATTTGAGAGCTCGCGAAGTGTTATTATTGAGCGAATACCATTTTAATTTTGTTATTCTGTTTGAAGCTTGTGTTTATAGTTCGGATGGCATCTGGGTCTAGCCAACCCCAGTTTCGGTACACACAGCCACCATCAAAGGTCCTCCATTTGAGAAACTTACCATGGGAGTGCACAGAGGAGGAGCTGATCGAATTGGGGAAGCCATTTGGTAAAGTCGTTAATACCAAATGTAATGTTGGAGCGAACCGGAATCAGGCATTTATAGAGTTAGTAAGTAGCTGGTCAAATTTTGCACTGATATGCACCATCTTAGTGCTTGGTCAAGTTTGCTTATATTAATTCTACTTCCTCAAAAAATAAAATTACTCACCTTTACTCCTAAAAAAAGAGAGTTCGTAAGTAGCTAGTTCACCATGATCTTTCATTACATTTCTGTTTTCTTGTAAAACTGCACGTCCTTCAAAACTTGATTTTCTTATTTCTGAAGTGTTAATATGTGTAGGCAGAATTAAATCAAGCTATTGCAATGATATCGTACTACGCCTCTTCCTCAGAACCGGCTCAGGTACGAGGGAAAACCGTCTACCTACAATATTCCAACAGGCAAGAGATAGTGAACAACAAAACTACAGCAGATGTAGCTGGAAATGTGTTGTTGGTTACAATTGAGGGGAATGATGCCCGCCTTGTCAGTATTGATGTTTTACATTTGGTAAGGATTACATTACTTCCCATGTACCTTGGTGGATAGGAAATCTTCTTCATAGAAAGGTTTTTCTGTAGTTTTGGTAATTAGATTGGGCTATTTCATGCTTTATTGAGCACTCTTTGACATGAAATTGAATGGATCAGCAGGCCAGTGTCCAGGATATATCTTCAGTGGCAGCTTATTGCTTCGGGAGAAAGAGCGAATGTGTGTTTGTCTCCTTTCTCTTTTGCTTAACTCAAGCTCTTCCTTCCCTTCTTCTCCTCATCTAACTTTCCTGACTTTCTTGGAGTGTCAGATGATTCTTATTCCTCAAAATCTTCTTCCCTCCTTAGCATATGCATAATGGAGTTGCAGTTTTTCGTTGTCCAAGGCAAACTTGTTGCATGTGCATCTGGAAGCTTGCAATGGATGCGAATTTACTTGCTTTTCTTAGAGTAATAATGTCTTTTCAATTAATTAACTTGAAAGTTTAAGATCCAACTCAATTAGGCTCAACGCAAAGCCAGATAACCATCTACGACTCAGATATTTGGTTTTCTAAACTTACCCTCTCCATGACTTGCTTGTCTTAAATTTTCTAAAACCTTTTAACTTCGATACTAGCGTAAGAAATAATCTCCTTCACTCTAGTTTTAGTGTTATTAGGATGTTAGTAGACAGAAAGTTTTGTTTTTTTTAAGACAGCTTCAAGGAATGGAGCTTGTTCAGCTTTGGGCCAAAATTTTACAAACCTGAGGCGACTTACTGCTGCTGAGAACTTCTCTGGTTATGAGCTTTGTTTGACAAGGTTGTCCTTGTAATGAAGAAATGAGCCTTAGGCTTTATTAACAGATACAAATTTTTTTTTCCTTGTGGAATTTTCTGAATATATGAGTGGTTGACCTAAATTTGGTGACTTCAGTGAACTGTCTCTCATCTTCAGGTAGTTTTGTTTGCATCACATGTTCATGTTCCGGTAGCTTTGCGCCTTTGTTTTGTATCCTTCCTCCAATCGATATCCTTCGCATTTTTAGAACCCCTTTAGGTCAACTGTTGTGAAATACTCCTTGATTAGAAAATATTTGCAGTATTATTCTGTGATGGTATAATTGATAATCATTAAAAACAGAAATGTCGTTTATACTATTTGTTTCTAATACTTGAGAAGAGCATGACTGGAATTGCACATTAGAATGAAGGATTTTTCCAAATTTATAATTTTAGCATTGAATAGATCTATTTCTTAAATTTTCCTGTTCTTTCAGGTGTTTTCAGCTTTTGGATTTGTGCACAAGATCACAACATTTGAGAAGACTGCTGGATTCCAGGTATTTATGCTTCAGAAAGATGGATTCGACCAAGCTTGATTAGTCTCAATATGTTTGTTGACCTCCTAATTAACTGACGAGTCCCTCACCTCCTTGAACCCTCTTCAGGCTCTGGTGCAATTTTCTGATGCAGAAACCGCTACTTCAGCAAAGGATGCCCTGGATGGAAGAAGCATTCCCAGGTGATGTTGGATTATATTTTGGCTGGGTATGGATCATTTTTGTAGATGTGGTGCATATACATTGGGGCTGGACATCTTTGAGGAGCTTTTTAAGAATTTACTGAAGGGGTACACACATGCTCCTTAGCCCGTTCCATATATTTATATTGACATTTAAGGCGCCTTCTTCTTGTGTTCATTTAAGTTCTAGTTAATGGGGAATAATGAGCTTATCAAACTCTGCTTTTTAAATGCTGCTACAGAAAGCATTCATAACTACGACTTTCTTAAGAAAGAGGGCTGATCCTTGTAAAAATGCTTGCAGAAAAGATGATTGTTTGGTCTTCCCATTTAATTTAGTTGGCTAAAATTCAGATGGTCGGCTGGCTGCTTAAATGTACCTATGCTCAGAGCTATTAGTGGAATTCTGATTTCTATGATCTTGTGAAGGGAAAAATATATGCTCTAAATTTTCATACTATACTCAATTGCTGTTCTGGAGAAATATTTATTAGCTACTTCTTGTTCATGAGGGGCAGTTAACTGATTTTTTCTTCTCTCATGTATTAGTTACTTGATTCCAGAACTTGGACCATGTACACTTAAAATCACATATTCTGCTCATACGGATCTGAGCGTGAAGTTTCAGAGTCATCGTAGCAGGTAAAAATGATCTCCATCTTCCTCCTCTCACGCACATGCACTATTTTTGGGATAAAGATGCTGGGAAGGAAAACTTCTTTATACAAGCAGTGCACCAAAAAGTAGAGAACCTAATGAAAGACACCCAATCTTCTATACAAACATACACATTCATAATTGATGACTTGTTTTAATTATTGAAAGCTGTTCATATAGATTGCTTTTGAGCAGTCTTCATCATACTTTATTATATCGTGTATGACTTAATTTGTTTGGGTTTATTATTGCCTTCCTCTCTTTGAATCTTAAATCGTGTATATGGTTCTGATTTAGGGACTACACCAATCCTCACCTTCCTGTTGCTCCCTCAGCCATAGATGCAAGTGGTCAGGTAATGCGTCAGTCACGGCTCTCTCTGTGCGTGTGTGTGTGTGCGTGTGTGTGCGTGTGCGCGCGTGCAGGCATCAGTTGCAACTTGCACATAGAGGATTTTCTAGGATTGGTAAATTTTTGTCTTCCAGTTTCCTTGTTGCTGGTGTTGTGCTTTCGTGGGATTACTTTATGATACTGCCCTTTCATACAGCAGGAATTAACCGGATAAGTTTGAATATATATCCTACACTAATATGGGATTGAGACATAGTTTATTGATTGGTGTGCATGTATGTCTTTACATAGTGGGCAAATCTTTTTCTAGTTGAGATATGTTCCTAGGTGGCAAGCTTGTGTTGAGATGCTGTTTGTCCTTTTGTTTGAAATTTCTTCCATCCGTGTCACAGTTCAGTTTGGGTTTGGATGGGAAGAAACTGGAACCTGAGAGTAATGTTCTTCTTGCTTCCATTGAGAACATGCAGTATGCAGTTACCTTGGATGTCCTACACACGGTAACATCCCTCTTCAGTTGCTAAAAAGCTTTTGTACATTCTCTCGTGACCTGTTTTCTGAATTGTTTTATTGCTTCCTCATTTTCCTTCATATGTCCTCAGGTTTTCTCAGCTTTCGGTCCTGTACTAAAGATTGCTATGTTTGATAAGAATGGAGGGGTTCAGGCTCTGATACAGTACCCTGGTAAGATGAAATGCAGCCAATAATTTGCCAGTGTTTGTTCTTACCCTTGCAAGTCGCAAGTCATCACTTTATTGCTCCAATGTTCTAAAAGCATTTGGCATAGTGGCCAAACACTGTTCTCAGCTTCTTGACATTATATTATGTTTTTATTTATGTATGGCATTCTATAGTCAAGAAGGCTACTTTCTAGTGAATATTTATTGGGTCATATACTACCAGCAGTCCTTTTTTTCAACTTTGGTTTTCCTCTCAAGCGTCTTATGTAAAAGAAAATAGTGGGTATATTAGTCAAAAAAATGTTTTCTTTTTTGATAAGGAAATATTTTAGACTGGTCAAAAAAATGTTTTCAATTCTAGTATACTCTGAAGTCTGAAGAACAAGGTTTCCTCTTGTGAATTGGTGCTTGTACAAACTCAGAAGTAATGGTGAAATGATTATTCTATACTTAGATGCTTGTGAGTTGAACTAAGCAATAGATTTGATGATTCTACAGATGTACGCACAGCTGTTGTTGCGAAGGGAGCTTTAGAAGGACATTCCATTTATGAAGGTGGATATTGCAAGCTTCATATCACTTACTCTCGACACACAGATCTTAGTATAAAGGTAAAAGCAATTTTGTGGAGAAAGCTTTATTAGCTTGATATATTACTCTGTGACGGGAACTCTGTGATTTAGTGTCAACAATCTCTTATCTGCTCATTGCTTTACTCCCCTGCCTCAGCCTTTTTTTTTTCCTTTTTCCTTTTCCTTTTCCTTGTGAGGGCATAAGTCATTTCCTAAATTGAATGGTTATCTTTACTGATTTCAGGTTAATAATGATCGCAGCAGAGATTATACAATCCCGAATACCCCTATGTTGAATTCTCAACCTTCAATCTTTGGGCAGCAGCTACCTCAGATAGGAGGTCCAGGTGTTCATCCATACGGTGCCCCTGCCCATTACGCTCCAGCTCCAGGTGTTGCTCCGCCTCAGCATTCTGCAGGCTGGAACTCTGCTGCCGCCACAGCAAATCAAGGAATGCCAATGCAGATGCATAATCACCCTTACATGCCACCTGGTAGTGTGCCTTCACAGATGGGTTCTGGGGTGATGCCAATGCATGGACAGAATGGCATACCGTATTCTAATGCAATGCCTCCTTATCATCAGCAGTAGCACTACCGTGAAACAAGCTTTTCATACCAGGGGTCCATAATTTTGTTGCAGAGAGATGTTAGCCAAAATGTGACGAGTCTTTTGGTCCTAACTGCATATCTTGGTTCTTTTTGTCTGTCTTAGCTCTTTTCTTTTGGGGCACTGAATGGTCCCGTTGCTGCTATTAGGCACTGCATTGTACAATATTCTTGATCATCTTTCATCGGTATGAATTATATTATGGAGCAAAGGCTTTGATTTCACGCTTGTCTTGTGTGAAACTTATTAGCTCGTCGACTCTCTCTTTCCCATTCATGTTAAGTTGAAAACAAAGAGTAAAACAAAGGACCACCAAGTGTGCCAACACATGGAATCTTATGGCGTTTGTTTCAAACTTTGGGTAAACTCAGTTTTGGAAAATTTCTTGTTGTTTTATAGTAACATATTTGTTTGATGTTGTTTTCACTTCTTTTGAAAGTTTTCAAATTATGCACAAGTTAAAAAGCAACGCATAAACTTCCCCAAGAGAAGCGAACGTGAAACCAACAAAAGAGAACATTGGTTGTCTCCAATCCTGAAGGATAGGCCACTTAAAAAGTAATGAACTTTGGTCCATGCTGAGCTTGGTACTTACACAGTAAATTCACATTTGGCTGAAAAATATTGGGGTATGAAAATGACCAAACCGGCTGTTTATATTAAGCCCTGGCCCCTGGGAGTTTGGGAACCGGCTCGGCTGCGTTGACATCCTCAAAATCTCAATGTAAGCTAGTACTAATTTTTTTCTTTCAAAAAATAAGAGTGAAATAATAAAGGCCACAAGAAGAAGAGCGCCAATTTGATTGAGATAAGGTTTTTCTTGTTTGCTCCCTTGTTGTATAACATAACAAGAAGCAACCCAATCCTGTGGCTCTCTCTCTCAATCCCTTCAACTAAGTGAGAGCGAGCAAAAGGGAGAAGAGAAGTGCGTTACTCTTCAAGAAACTAAAAAGATCCTCTCCTCTTTTTTGCAGTAAAGAATCTTTCAATTTAGTTAAGGCAAAGTATCTTTTTTTTTTCTTCCTTTAAACCCTAATAAACATCTATCTAATCGAAGAAAAAAAAAGCCATGACTACTCTTCAAGCTTCTCTTATCTTCAAGCCTTTACCTTCTCCTCTTTTCCATTTTTCTTCTTCTTCTTCTTCTTCCAAACCCTTTTACTCCCTTCGTTTATCCACAACAACTGCGTTTACTTCTTTAAAGCCTCGTTTTTGCCGCCACAATTCACTCCTTCACTGTACATTGACTCCTGACAATGTCAATTCTGATTTTGCCTTATCCAATAATAATGACAATGAAATTGAACCCCAAGAATTCAATAAACCCCAAGCATTCAATGAACCCTCCTCCTTTGGTGGGAGCAGTAGTTCAATTGAAGAAGCGAGTAATGTTGTGGAATCTGAGGTATTGGTGGAGGAGAATGAGGAAATGAAGAGGAAGTTGCCTATTGTGGTTTTCTTGATGGGTTTATTTGCTAAGGTCAAGAATGGGTTTGAGAAGATTTTGTTGTCTGATTGGTTTAGTTGGTGGCCCTTTTGGCAGCAAGAGAAGCGTCTCGATAGGTTGATTGCTGATGCTGATGCTAATCCTAAGGACGCAGCTCTGCAGAGTGCTTTGCTTGTTGAACTCAACAAGCACAGGTATAGCTTTAGTTCTCCGAGAAAAGATTTAGCCTTTATCTTAGTTCTGTCTTATGCTTCAGTGACATAATGTAGAGGAGGTAGGATAATAGTAAAGATTTTTTTTTTAAATAAGGAATATTGTGATGTTCATTACTGATAATAATACCATGTTTAGCAATCTTTGCCCGTCTTTCTATATAAAATGTTTAATTGGTCATTATCCTCATGGATGCTTTTGATTGGCGTGCCTAATTGCAATTCTCTCGCAATTTTAAGAACATGGCAAAAAATCCCATATGTGAGGTGCCTTAATAAAATAAGAATGCAGCTTGTGAGTTCCTGTAAATTACTGTATTCGAGTCTTTCACCTGATCAGTTCGAGTTATTTTTGTTTCCTTTTTAGTTTTGATAGTCTATAAGTTGCCTTAGCTACACAAATTTATTTATAGAGAGTATTCACTGTTCTCTTTATCTTTTCAACCTTAGCCCTGAGTCTGTCATTCGGCGCTTTGAGCAGAGAGCTCATGCTGTAGACAGTAGAGGAGTTGCAGAATATTTACGAGCTCTTGTGGCGACAAATGCTATTGGCGAATATCTACCTGATGAGCAATCCGGAAAGCCTTCTAGTCTTCCTTCACTGGTAATTGTTTGATCATAATACCTTTGCATTTTTTGGTGTGTATTGGCAAATTCCACCTGTGTGGTAATAAATTATTTTAGTGTTTGACATTAAGTAGTGAACATTCTGGGTTCCTGATTATCCCAGTTAGTCTCGGTTCATTCTATCTCCATAATGACACCTAAGTGCTTCTATTTTCTGGAGGGAAGGAAATCATTTTGGACTCTAGATGTTCTGGTCACTCCTGTAATTTATACTGTTCTTGTCTCTTGATTTGGTGCTACTTTTTGATGATTAATGGAATCAAAATGTAGTTGCAAGAATTGAAGCAGCGGGCATCGGGGAACATGGATGAGCCGTTTCTCAATCCTGGCATTTCCGAGAAGCAGCCATTGCATGTTGTGATGGTAAGATACCATGAGCACTGCAGTTTTTGTTGACAAAAGGAGTCTAATGTTCATATTAAGCATCATATCTAACACCTGTGTGTCACTAACAGTTAAATATGAATTTGGTTTATGGCTTTTCGTGCTTCCATTGGTTCTGCTTATGATTACTTTATCCATTTGTTGGGTCATGCTTTTGCACATGCATGTGGTTGTTTAACCCAGATTTCATTATTTTCTTGTAGGTTGATCCTAAAGTTTCAAGCAGATCATCACGTTTTGCGCAAGAGTTTCTCTCAACTATCATATTCACTATTGCCATTGGCTTGGTCTGGTAAGCTTATCTTCTAGATTTTACTATTCCCTATATACAAAATGAGGCCTAGTAACGTCTCTAAATATACTCTTGCCTTTTCTCCAGAGTTTGTGAGGGAGTGGGGTGTACACTGCTTGTTTTTTATGTGATTGCTGCCTTGCTAGTTAGCATATTAAGCTAATGTGTCTCTGTCCTACCTTAGTTTTCACTCTCTTTCCTTGCTTTAGGTAACTTCTCTTGTCTTTGGTTGGTAGATAATGAGTCTTATCCTTCTTTACTTTTACTAAGAAAAAAACACATTCATTTGTTCAGGATAATGGGTGCTACTGCACTTCAGAAATATATTGGTGGCTTAGGTGGGATAGGAGCTTCTGGTGTCGGTTCAAGCTCATCCTATGCCCCGAAAGAGTTGAATAAAGAAATAATGCCTGAGAAGGTATGTTTTCTTTCTGGAGATGTTACATGAAGCTTGTGTCTTCTGCAACAATCTTCTGATGTATTATGTTAATTAAAGAGATTGGAAGCTAATTTTCATTTATTTTGCTTCTCAATTCTTGTCACCGTGTGAAATGTCTAGTTTGTTTGGCTTCCTCATTTTGGCATTAGAAAAGAGAACTCTTGTCTCTGGGAATTTCGTTCAGAAACTTGGGAGTCAGGAAATTTGGAGGATTGACACGTCTCATTTGTAATTTTCTATACTCTTGTGTTACCAGATCTCAACTACTGATCAATTAAATGTAATCTGGAAAAGGGAACAGCTTCAAGTATCTTTTTTATCCCAGGCTATTCCTACATAACTTACATCCATATCAGTTTTATATTTTATTAACATAAATGTTGATGCCTCATTGGTCTTGGTTGTTTGATTTTCTCTTAATCTTTCATCTGTTCAGGAGTAACTCTTTGAGTATCCGCTCTCTTGTTAACTAGTAACAACTAACAACTTCTAAGAGTCATACATCATTCTCCTTTTGTATATTAAGGCTCAACCATGTATAAATGTTGCTTCTTATTCTTGCACTGTTTTGAAGTTTTTGATAGACAAATAGTTTGGATTATCTACTTGATAGACTTGAACTACCACGTTTATGCTATAGTGCCAGGTCGTACTAGAGATTCAATTTTCCTTCTGGGGATTTGGAAAAGTATGATTTTTCTTGTTTGTGGATCTTGCATAATTGCAGTAGTTTTTGTTTATTTATTTTTCTTTTGGACGCAGAATGTCAAAACGTTTAAGGATGTCAAAGGTTGTGATGATGCTAAGCAAGAGCTTGAGGAGGTTGTTGAGTACCTCAAAAATCCTTCTAAGTTCACTCGGCTTGGGGGAAAGTTGCCGAAGGTTTGTGCTTATTATGCTTATTTATTCTGGCTTGTTATTGTCAATTTTGCTTTTTCTTTTATGTGAACCACCCCCTATCCTTTTCATGAAGGAATTATTTATCTTGTTTTTAGGGAATTCTTTTGACTGGAGCTCCTGGAACAGGAAAAACCCTCCTTGCCAAGGTAAGCTGTTGATTACATTTTACACTGAAGTAGTTGTCCACATTGGGTTTTCCATGTGTTGGCTACCTGTGTTCTTTGTTATATTTCCAGATGCACTGCACACTTCCAACTATACTCAAATTCAGATGAAATTTCTTCTTGTTAGTTGTGAGTCTTCTGATTAGGTCTCTTCTTCACTCTTTCCTCTTCCTATTTGTTGGGGATGTATTTGGCCAAAAATTGAGCTGTTTGACCAAGCTTTTGGAAGGGAAAAAAGTGCTTTTGAGTAGAAGCTGAAGCAGTTTTTCAGAAGCAGAAAAAAGTAGCTTCTCTCGGAAAGCACTTTTCTAAGAAGCACTTTTGAGAAAAATACACTTAGAAGCAGTTTTCAAAAGCTTGGCCAAACGCTAATTACTGCTCAAAAGTGCTTTTCAAATTAATTAGACAAACACAAACTGCTTCTCACCAAGAAAACTTTTTTAAAAAGTACTTATCAAAATAAGCTGATTTTAGAAGCTTGGCCCAACAGGCTATAAGATTTGTTATCCCTTCTTTTTTTCTTCTTCTTTGGTTGCTAAAGCCTAAAGTGAGGTAATTTAAGTTTTGTTGTCCTTGCATTTACAAAACATAGTTATTCCTTCTGTTCTTGAATATTTTCTCAAGTGTTTGCCTTGGTCCTTTTTTTAATTATTTAAAGATTTCTCTTCTAGTATCGCATATTAATTAATTAATAGAATTGTTACTTTGTCAAAAAAATAAAAAAATTATCGTGTTCTCTTCCTTGTACAAAATTCTGTATTCG